CTTATATTCATTTTATTGTTTTATTCTCATACTGAATTAGTCTGAACATGAATGAGTATATGGTTTGTACTATATATAAATAGTATTCAATAAAACTATGTTTTGAATATACCATAACTTAATGCTTAAAATTCAAAATTCAAATACTAAAACTTTCATTTGAGATTATGTTAAAAAATTCAAAAATCAAAAGGTGCACTTTACACAATGAACTTCAATATTGTTGTAATGGTATGGGATCTATTATAATTGTATTTCTATAAGGCACATATCATAGAAATTGTATTTTTTAATTCACTGAATAAAATGTTACATAAAATCATGGCACTGTAGATAGTGTTACAAACAAATTTCAAACTTTTATACTTAAGGTATTTGGAATGACTTATCAAGAATTTAGTTGTGGATTTTATGAAAACTAGCACTCTACCCGTTTGAGTGGGTTACCAAGGGTAACAGTAATCCCCCACATGGCAGCAGCCCCCACATGACAGCAACTCCATAAAATGCTAACCTGTATATTGATCAAGGTGAACTTGTGCAAAGGCCTTGAAACGCCAAATACCTAGATATTACTTTGACCTTGAGATGACCATAGCCCATAAAAATTGAATTTGACCTCAGGTTCCCTAATAATAAGTTGCCAAGGGTCAAAGTATCCTTCAAGTGCCTTAACACGCCAAACTTAGATATTGACCTTTGACCATAGAATGGCCTTGACCTCAGGTAACCTAATCATGGGTCGCCAATGGTCAAAGCAGCCCCCAGGGTCTCAAAATGCCAAATACCTAGATATTGACATTTGACTTTGGAATGACCTTGACCTCAAGTCACCTAATCATGTGTCGTCAAGGATCACAGTTGCCCTAAGGTCCTTAAAATGCCCAAATCTTTGACATCGAGAACCATAAATCACTAAATACCTAGATATTGACATGGGAATGACTTGACCCAAGGTCACCTAATCATGGCCTCAAAGGGTCACAACAGGCCCAAATGTATTAAAACGCCAATTACCAAGATATTGACCTTTGACCTTGGAATGACTTAAGTGAATTAATGTTAACGTTTAAAAAGCTATTCTTCTAGTAGTTTGTCGATAAGAATTTTGGCATTTGTCTTCAAAATGACTGGCAGGAAGTAGGTATGGAGTTGAAATTTTTCTCCCCTATCTGTATGTACTCCCTGAAAATGTGAAAGTGGTCTGTAGCAGTTTTGGAGAAAACTGTGGGACGTATGTATGGATGGATGGACATACAGAGTAACATACATACATACGATCCTAGGCTGACAATATGGCCCCACACTGAGTGGTGGAAACATAAAAACTGGAGTGATGAACAGACAGGTGGCTTCTTGAACTTGTCGACAATATGGCCACACACTGTGTGGTGGGGACATAAAAACTGGAGTTATGAACAGATGGGTGGCTTCTCGAACTTGGTTCAGTGGGATAATGAAATTTTGGAAGGTGATATCTGTGGCAATTTTGAAGAAAACTGTGGGACATACAGATGGACGGACATACCAACATACATACATACATGCAGGCGTGCAAGCACACGCGCACACGCACATACACACACACGCACATACATACATACGGGGTGTTCCAAAAGTAACAGGACTGGTGCTGGCATTTTGTCAATTCTGCACCGAGTGTGTTCAAATTTTCAAAAATTGTACTTTGACGCAGTGCAACTAAAATTGTAAAGTCTCAGAAAAATGATAAAATGTGGGTAAAGTTATGGTTACTATAGTAACGTGACATCACAACACCCGGGGCAACTTTTTCATGAAAATGTAGTATCTAACATTTTTATATAACTGAAGAAAGTATCTAATTCACCTATTACATTACAACATTTCTTGTTTGTTTTATTAGTTGCTTTATAGTTATGATGTTGGTATAAAACTCAGATTCAAGTATGATTTCATAATAATAATATTTATTCAATTTCCTGAAATATCATTATGTATGACAGTCTTCACAATTCACTGTTGAGTTTTTGAAAAGACCTAATTTGAAGCGAGTCATCCAACTTGATAAGGCGCCTGCCTGCAAGTCAGCGTTAAAGACCACTGCATTATAGTGGAGCTAGGTCTTGAGGTCTAAGACGATGCACCATAATCTTCTGATCATGCAATATCTAATTTTTACTTTTATATGGAGAATGGAATGCTAATCAGCACGGTAAGATAGTTAAAGATGAGAATGACCTTCTCCAAGTCCTATCGACCCTGCATGACATGTCATCAAATGGGTTCACTCATGTGTTTGAGTCATGGATACTGAGTGCTACTCTTGTACTAACCCAAGAGGATTGTACTTTTCAAAGTAGGGGATACATAGGAATATCAAATGATGTATTTAGCAAAGATGTAATTCCCACCAGTTGTTCGATTCTAACTTTGATATGGCATGTACAAAATGCTTAAATTCTCTGTAACTTTCTGCGTGGAATGTTGCCCCGGGTATTGTGATGTCATGTTACCATAGCAACCATAACTCTACCCCAGTTTCATATTTTTTATCGAAACTTTGCAATTTTAGTAATAACAATACATGAAAGTATATTATTTTGAAGACAATTGGTGCATATTCAACCAAATCCCAGCACCGGTCCTGTTACTTTTGGAACACCCTGTACATACAAGCTTAGGCTGACAATATGGCCCCACACTATGTGGTGGGGACATAAATACTATACGGATGAACAGACGGGTGGCTTTTCTATATCCCTCTTGAATTTCTTCCATGGGATAATAAAATTTTGGAGGTGATATCTGTAGCAGATTTGGAAATAACTATGGGATGTACGGATGGACAGACTGACAGACACACTAACATACATACATACAAGCTAAGGCTGACAATATGGCCCCACACTATGTGGTGGGGACATAAATACTATACAAATGAACAGACGGGTGGCTTTTCTATATCCCTCTTGAATTTCTTTCATGGGATAATAAAATTTTGGAGGTGATATCTGTAGCGGGTTTGGAAAAAACTATGGAATGTACGGATGGATGGATGGATGGACAGACTGACAGACACACTAACATACATACATACAAGCTAAGGTTGACAATATGGCCCCACACATGGCCCCACACTATGTGGTGGGGACATAAATACTATACAGATGAACAGACGGGTGGCTTTTCTATATCACTCTTGAATTTCTTTCATGGGATAATAAAATTTTGGAGGTGATATCTGTAGCGGGTTTGGAAAAAACTATGGAATGTACGGATGGATGGATGGATGGACAGACTGACAGACACACTAACATACATACATACAAGCTAAGGCTGACAATATGGCCCCACACTATGTGGTGGGGACATAAATACTATACAGATGAACAGACGGGTGGCTTTTCTATATCCCTCTTGAATTTCTTTCATGGGATAATAAAATTTTGGAGGTGATATCTGTAGCGGGTTTGGAAAAAACTATGGAATGTACGGATGGATGGATGGATGGACAGACTGACAGACACACTAACATACATACATACAAGCTAAGGCTGACAATATGGCCCCACACTATGTGGTGGGGACATAAATACTATACGGATGAACAGACGGGTGGCTTTTCTATATCCCTCTTGAATTTCTTCCATGGGATAATAAAATTTTGGAGGTGATATCTGTAGTGGGTTTGGAAAAAACTATGGGACGGATGGATGGATGAACATACAGACACACTTACATACATTGTATACAAGTCTAGGCTGACAATATGGACCCATACTATGTGGTGGAGACATAAAAAACTGACAGATGAACAGCAGACAGGTGGCTTCTCTATATCCCTTTCGAATTTCTTCTATGAGCTAATGACATTTTGGAGGTGATATCTGTAGTGGGTTTGGATAAAACTGTGGGATGCACAGATGGATGGCCATACAGACAGACTAACATACATACATACATACATAAGAGCCTAGACTGACAATATGGCCCACACTAAGAAGTGGGGACATAAAAACTGGATGTGTGAACAGATGGGTCCTTCCGAACATTGTTCGGTAGGATAATGAAAAGAAACATCCCTTCAAATTGAAGATTAATCCAGAAAAAATTGGTCTGAACATATTGATGAATCATGCAGAAAAGATTTTATGAAAGAAAAT